TACACCGTTATTTAAGAAGGCTATATTGAAAAACGAGAAGAAAACACAGAAATGGTTCATTCCATAACTTACCTCCTACAACTAAATAGTCCACATTTATATTTGCCCTCTGACCATCATGCCCTGCGTCATCTTTGATACAAACTCGAAAGTAAGACTTGGTTACTTCCTATCAAACAAAAAGGTTGCACGAGGTAAGATCTAATCATAAAAATTCCTTCATCCTCGTAAATGAGGTGGGAGGAGGACAAGATGACTTAAACAAAAGTTCTACGTAACCTGTCTGAAAAAAATACTGTTAATAGATATAACAATAATATAATTGTGTGAAGAAACATTGGTCATTAATCATAATGATTGTTTGACATCTTCCTTTGCTCTACAACCGAACCTAATATTAAGCAAACCTGTTTGAAAACACATCGTGTATTATGGATTGTATGGAAGGGATGAATGAGCGACATACACACATTACCATTTCTTACTTAACCAGACTGATAGTTGTTTTGAAATAGATGTCTATTCTTAATATAGGAACGGGTAGATGACTGAATGAATACAAGTGGTAGATAGCTGCACAAATGCATGTGTTCAAGGATGCAAGGATGCCTGGAAGGATAGATGACTGGATGGATGCATGGATGGTTGGATGAATGTACGGATGCATGCATGCATGTATGGGATATATGCATCCTCAGATGTTGGAAGGAATCGAAGGATAGGTAGATGGATATCTGGACGGGTGGAAGAATCGGTCAGTTTTAGCAGAAAAAAGAAATTATCCAAAGTCAAGTGCAGCCATCTTCTCTCTGTAAAGTTGACAAATTGTTTGTGTAAGCAAGTTTGTTTTATAACAAGCGAGGGTGCAAAAAGTTAATATACCTCCAGCCAACTGACTAAGGGACCTTTTACTTGACTTCCTATGTTAACACGATTGTTGGGTCCATTCAGCACAGTCGTGAGAACAACTGGTGGCTCATACAATGGGCTTGTGAAGTTGATATTCTGCAATAGATGCAAAAAACATATGGTGGAAGAAAGACATGATGTGATGATCCAAACGTACCTGATTCATTACTGAAATTGGCACTATAAAACTGGGAAGACATAAACGCAGTGCTATCTCTTATGTGCACATACCTTGCATAAGGCGTAGCTATTTCTTGCATTTGGTGTCTCATATTCAGAAAACACAACTTCCGAGGACCCTTTAGCTCCCCACGAAGATGGATAATTCGTATATGCCATCCAGTTCTAGAATTCATTCAACAATAAAAAAACATAGAATAGTGAAACAGGGACAGGCGATATTAGGTCTGACAGTGGCATTAATTTTAGTTTCGGTAAGGCATGGGGAACTAAGTAACCAGACCAAATACTCCAAGCTCAAAAGTGTTTTATAGAAGGGTGAAGCATTTTTTTAAAACTCTCTGTGGAACGAGAAGAAAGTTTCTGTAAATTGCAGTCAAACCCGCCCGCTGCAAAACGCTGAGTCTGAGTTTTATTGAGTTTATGCTACAAAATGAAAAAAGTATTATAAATATATAGACTCATTGAAATTGTCCCACATACCACCAAAAGATTGCTGTGAGGTCCATCAAACGTCCTCGACTCCCTCAGACAAACTTCGAACTGACCTGTGGAGAGACTTTCAATCCAAACGCTCATGGCGTCCTGTGATTGGTTTGATGCACTGTGTTTAACAGTTACTTGGACTTTGGGCAACTGTGAGAAGACCTGAGAGGCAAAACTCCTGCTATCAGCCATTTTTCATTTCTATGGTCTATATATTAATATGGTTAGACGAGCTCTCTACCTTAGCAAAGCAAAGGGTTATCGCGCTTATCAAAAATTCCTAACGAAATGGTTGCCTTCTGATCGCGGGTATGTCTTGCAACGAAAGCGTTGTGTGACACCCTAAAGAACGGCTGCGAAGGAGACTACATAGTAGTTGAGGATTTTTAACACTCTTGATGGTTTTTTGAACATCGTGCCGAGACTTATCAAACGAAGTAAACTCCATTATTTAAATTACCTGAGGAAATGAGACCTGTTCACACTTTGTTCCAGTGGTAAACTGGCCGAAACTGGTTTTCCCATGATAAAGTCCCGATTGAGCACCGTGGAACGCGAGCCAATCGATATTAGTGAACTCTGTCCTCCTTGCACCAAACAGGCTTTGAAATCGGCTGCAGTGACATCTTCAACCCAAATGAATGCCGAATCGTGAACAATGGATGAGACATTTCCATGGTTAAGAGAAGCGAACACGAAAGGAGTTCCACCGGAGAAACGGTTGCTAAATGACACCGTCTGACAGTGGGCGCCGCAACTTCCCTCCTAATTAATGGCAACTTTTCCTCTCACAACTCCTATGAATAAAATTTGAAATTCTCTAATGCAATTAACCAGTCAATCCTCGGATGCGCGGTACAAGAGGGTCCTGCAAGGGTTCTTCGTAGGCTCTCTGCCTATTCTCCGTTATAAACTGTTGAATTTATTGAATGTCAAACCATATCAAGTTGTAAATGAAGTGGGTCAGTAGAAACTAGGGTTGGGAAGGCAGAAATTCGATTCTGCTGGGGAAAATGATTTAAGCGAGAATCCGCCATTTTAATTGACGTCAGAGAAAGCATAACACTCATTATAATTGCTGAAAATTTTTCTAATATCAAAAGCTTCAGCTGAACTTGGTAAAAATGAGGGTTTCCCAGGGGTTTTGGGGAACAAGGGAACAAAGGCAAAATATTGAAGGGAACATAAGCCTATTTTTAGGGAACAGGGTAATATAACTGTACAAATTAGAGGAGAAAATAGTGTGATATAAGAAATAAAGACCGTTATTTCTGATATTTTATTTATCAGTGGTAATTCATGCACTACTGTCATTCGTTTCGTCTTTCTTTACGTACACAAGAATTCAAATAAAGACAAAGCAATCAGCTGGGAGTCTGGGTGCGAGAAGTTGGCGGGAATCTGTTGTCACAGATTGCCAAGATGGCGGAGAGATTTGCCGTTCGTGTTGTGCTGCCTGTCACTGCTGCGATTTATAGAAATGGCGATGAAAAACCAGCAATGCGTTGGTCCTTTGAAATGGGAATAGGGGGCGAAAGTGACAAG